TTACACACTCATGTGCTGAAAGAGAGCCTTCCGGATGCTGTGGTCCAGTCTGAGCAGGAAACTATGCCAGAAGCCAGGGTTTCAAGAGGCTACTTTCTTGCTGTGTTTAGCTTGAGAGTCAGATATTACTATTTTTTAAGCTTTGAAAACTCTGAGAGATGGGATGTTTGGTCTGATGGTAAAAGCCTTAAAGCTACAGAACTCAAGCCAGAAAAGCTGGGGATTGTATGATACTTATACCTTCTGTGGCTGAGGAAAAAAAAAAAAAAATCAAACCAGGATTAGAAAAGGATTATTCTATTATAGAAAAAGGACAAGACCTAACCTCATCACTAATAAAACAGCTGGGGAAGAAGCAGCCCCTCAAATTGAACCCAAAAAGAAAAAAAAGAAAGGAAATCTAATTCCCTGCAAGTGCAACAGTCTGGTTTCCTTAAAACTAATAAAGTGAAATTAACTATAAAGAATCCAAAGTCTCCCAAAGGAAGTTCATAAAGATGACTTTGACTCTAGTGGATTATAATCATTGAAGCAAAGAGGTAACTTAGAAGGCCCATGCCCAATACATCTGTGGCAATATCTTTGGCACAAAGCTCCACACTGGTACAGGAATCAAGGGGAGAGGGCAATGGCTGTTTGTGAATCGTGGCAGGAAAGAAGAGGGACACAAAGCAGGGTAGCAGTAGAGTGACTCTGTTTCAGTGCTACAAAAAACGAATCACCACTCAAAACAATTTGCCCTTGTATAGAAAACAGGCATTTTCCAACTGGTCCTATTCTCCATAATTCCATCTTTTTTTTTTTTTTTTCTTTAAAGATTTATTTATTTATTTATACAAGCACTGGGTACGGTAAGAGGCGCGAGAGAGTGAGAGAATTCACCAGAGCCAGAGTGGAGAGTAGAACAGGCAGATTGACGAAATACACTGCTGAGGGGAGCAGCGGGCGGCAGGAGAGGTCTGCTGTGCCATGTGGGACCCTCGCCCAGGTGGCCGGGGATTGAACCGGCGCTGCAGAGGCTGCGGGCAGCTTCGCAACCCAGCGCTCAACAGCTGCGCCACTGGGGAGGCCCTCCATAATTCCATCTTGAGCCATTCTTTCAGTTTTTCCAATAGGCTGTGTCTATTGTTTCCACCTTTGTGAATGGAAGCACTTGGGCAACACCTTAGTGACATGGTATCTACTGGATATGTGACAATTTTACCAATGATGGAGGTTGGGTGGTAAGAATTATGAATGTGTGTGTGTTGGACCTGACCGTAAGTTATAATTTGTAGATGCCCTTTTACATAGATGTGAACAAATTTTCTTTTAACACCTTTCTTTGAAAATGTGATGTGTAGAAAGACATGAGCAACCAATTAATAGATTATATGGGTTTGCCAAATTGGAGCTCAAAGTAATTGGGAAGTCCAGCACAAGGAAAGGTCACCCCAGAAAAATCTCACTCTTCAAAAAGGCTCTGGCAATAACGAAAGAATGAGATTTTAATCACTGAAGCTAATTACATAGAAGGCTAAATCACAAGAAGAGTTATTTAAGTGTCTTAAATACAATAAAAAGTAATTAACGGGAAGCGCCATCTTGACAGCTTCATGTCACAAACCAGGCCTAAAAGGATCAGTTAATTCCCAACTCGGGAGCCAGAGAATGAGAAACAACTCAAAGTTTGATCTTTTTATTTTTTTATTTAAACTGTTTTGATTAAGAGATAACAACTCTTTCCAACTCTACAGCAAAGTTAATCAAGAAAAAAATGGTAATCTATTAGAGGAATGATGAACCTCATTTACATTGATTCCCCAGAGGGCAAGAGATGGGGAGCTGAAGACTGTATCTTACGAGAGAGGCATCACAGAGATACTGTGACTCGACTCCCCCCACCCCCATACATTAAGAGGGAAAAAAAAAAAAAGATCAGGCTGAACCCTATCAAGAATACAGATAATTGACACGCTTTCGCATGTGAAATACCTCTGAAAATCTGCTTTGAAATAACTCTGTGAGACTCCATCTCCTCCACCTCTACCTTGAGCATGAAAGAAACTCTTCCAGAATCAGAGAAGCCTGACAGATGTCTTGAGTAATAGGAAAGCCCCAAGATGCTATGAAGGTCTAAATGTGGATAAGCCTATCAATGATGACAGACACAATTCAGATGGATGGCTTCTTATTTCTAAATTCTAAACATATCTACAAACTTGAAAAAGTCTTTGAGAGAGGCATGACATACTTTGAGTGTAGTATGACAGCACTTCTAACTAACCTTCCTTAAAATGACCCACACATTTTCTGACCTCAGTGAAACCAACTGGCTGATGATGGAGAGTCACCGAAGGTCACGCTGATATACCTGTGCATTTCTGTCCCAAGTGCTTGAACCATTTGTTTTTGCCCCCAGATCCGATTTATTCTTGTTATGCTTATTATTTTAATTTTGTGCTTAATCAAATATTATATTAATAACTGAAATGTGTTTATAAAAACTTGCACACTTTACAAAAGATTTAATAGGAGGAATAGCTTTAAAATAACTACAAGGTAAATAGGAGAATGAAGACTAATCAATAGAAGAATGTAAAAAAGATCTTGAGTTCCAATTCAAACAGGAAGTTAGACAATACACCAGGATATCAGAGTTGATCCACTCTGCCCATATCAGAGATTGGGAAATGTATGAACACTTTTACTACTATGCTGAAAACCCAAAAAACATTTCAAAAATTCCCTTCTCTAAGGAAGGTGTTTCAAATATATTCATTCTGAATATAATCTGAGTATTATTATTCTTGTTTTTAATACTTTGACTTTTTTACAGTATCAATTGGAATAACTTTCAAAAACATTTAGGAAGTTCTGAGAGTCAAGGCAGTACCAAAGCTAAGGGAAAATAGAGAAGTTATGTGGAAGAAATGCAAAAAGCATACTAATTGGGTCCACTTTCTGGAGATGGTCTTTGACCCTTACTTCTCAATAACAAAACAAGAGAAAAATGAACAGCTACAAGTTTTTTTAAAAATATTGATTAAAGGAAAACCTATAGCTTGAAAGAAACAGTTGTCCCAGATAATGAGACATCTAAGTATTCCCTGTTATGCTTTATAGACATTTTTCAATATAGTAAACAAATCATTAATAAATTATTAAACTCCTAGCATGTATTGAATACTGAGGTGACAGGAAATAAAAGAGACAAAAATCCCTCTCTTTAGGGAGGCTTAGTATCAACTGAGGGTTGGTCTCAATATTATCAGTAAATTCCTTTTATTTCTCCTGATTGCAGACCAGCAATTTACTCACGAAGTCTAGTGTAGTAAAACAATTTGTGAAGAAATTCATAATGCTTCTTAGGTCTGCAGCCAGGATGGTCTAACCCAAGGGCACAATCTTATTGTTCAGAAGAGTAGCTATGTCGATAAATACATTGGGAAATCACACAAAAATGATATCCCTTACACAACAATTTTAAGAACCAGGGAGTAGAAAGGTGAAGTTTATCATCTCTGGCACAACCCTGAGGTAGAGATATTCTACGTTTTCCATTCAGACTAATCAATCTGTAGTGTTAGTTCCCAAAAATGAAAAAAGGGGTTCACACCTTCTTGTAGGACCTGAAAATCTAACAAAACCTTGGTCAAAATGGAGAGGCTAGCCTGAAGGAGTAATCTCGGTCAAAGCCAAGGTAAGTGCAGTTGAACTTCAAGGTTTTATGACATGGAGCATGGCCATGGCCACCTCCTCCAGGTAAATTTTAAAATCAGGTCTCAAATTGCCCTTCTTAAAAAAAAAAAAAAAAAAAAAAAAAAAAAAAAAAATCCCAGGCAAGATACTCCTAGAATATGTGATCTTAAGCAGTATAAATTTTATTTTTAAGATATACCTCAGTGTTAGCTAAATAAAATAATCCACAGTATTGTTAAACACAGGTAAAACCATCTGCCAAAAATAAAAACGCGCATTTTCACAGTAGAGACACTGTTTTTACCAGCAATGGGAGAGCAGGCACAGTTACTGACTGAGATGGCTCCTTATTTATGATAGTAAAAAATCTTACTACAGGAAAATACTAACTTCCTAGCTCTCTAGTAGGGAAGCATGCATCTAGTTCTTAAGAAAGTGGAGGTAAATTGGTAATAATCATTATTTTAAGTTGTATTGTCACCAATATATGTCCTAGTTGCCCCCATTTCAAAAATACGATCTGATTTGTCAGGAACCTGCTTCTAATAAAACCTGCCGCCTGTGGTGATGCTGAGGTAATAACAACAAAAGCTCTTCTCCCCCAAAGCTGAAGCTTCCGATTGTTGTGTGAACATTATCGGCAGTAACATAAATATAGGAATGGTAACAGTGGCTAAAAATAGTTATTTCCAAATATGACAGCACTAGGAAGGGCTCCTGCTTGGTAGGAGAGCTTCTGGAAGGAAAATTAGCTCCAGGCTCCTCTTTCCTTTCAGAGGCTTTCTGCAGCTTAGAGGTGTTTCTCCTAACCATTTCATTGTACTTTCAATAAGACAATCCCTGTTTTGATGAGAAACCTATTCTTTTCTTCCCCTCCACTATGCCCCCTTAAAAGAAAAGAAAAATACCAGTTTGGTAACAAACAGCATTTAAGATTGTTAAAGAGAGAAGGAAACAATTATCATGCTGGTATATTTTACACAGAGCAAAAATTGCTAGTGGGGGCTGACTGACTGTTTTAATATTTATTGTGGAAGCATGGCCCAGCAGGCTTCCTCCTTCGCCACCAGACACCTCCCTTGAAAGACTCTGTTCATCAACAAGCTCCCATAAGACTATGGAATATAAGCAGGACACAGACAGCGCAGGAGAAGAGGAAGGCCCTGTCACCTACCAGTGACATAGCTACACACAAAGAAAACACCTACTTCTCTTCTACTTCCCTTCTTCCCTTTTTTTATTAGTCTATAATTAAACTTCCTTTTTCAGCGGGAGGGGGCTGGATGAGAGGGGGAGGAAATCAGTGCAGATTAAAACCAAGGCCCCTCAGAACCCCAAGAGTTAAAGGTCCTGGGGGGTACTGTGTCCTCCAGGGTGATCAGAGCCCAGTGCTAGACATCACAGGACACAACTGAACTTCCTAACCTAATATGCAGAGAACCTTTCTAATTTTGGATAGTACCCAAGGCCTGAATGACATGCAATAAACAGCATTAATAGTGATATCGCGAACTACATAGAGCAAAGCACACAGGGCCTAATGAATCTTAAACAACAACAACAGTGAAATTTTGTGATTAGTTAATGAGTAATAATAAAGTACAGAGGCACATGACAATTACAAACCACTATGTCTGGAATAAGAAAGAGAATGGGGTGAAAAGGCAGAGAGACCTGAAGGAGGAGAGAAGTCTCTGTTACGGCCCAGTCCCTGCCAGAACACTCACATTCCTCCAATGGTAACCGTGGCACAGGTACGCTCTGAAAAGGCAGGCACTGTCTCTGTGGCTGGGCTGGCTGGTCTAATGTAGTCCACAGTCACATTGACCTGAAAATAAAGAATCAAATGAGTTAGGGTTCAGAGTTTGCATCATAGCTCACTAGAAGCCACATGCCTGCACAACTGTGAGCATTATCTCACTCACAATTTGACTTTCTGGGTCTAAGATTTAAAAACAAACAAGAAAGACAGCAGAATCACACTCAGAAAAAAATTGTTGCCAAAGCCTTAATTGATCCTCAATCAGAAGGAGAAGACCTCTTCAAACTGAAGAATAAGAAAAGGAACAATGTGATTTTATTTATTTTTTTGTAAATTATATACTTTATTCTTTTTTTTTTTTTTAAGATTTATTTATTTATTTATTTATTTATTTATACAAGCACTGGGTACAGTCAGAAGCACAGGAGGGTGAGAGAAATCACCAGAGCCAGAGCGGGAAGCAGAACAGGCAGAAGGACCAAAGTACACTGCTGAGGGGAGCAGCGGGTGGCAGGAGAGGTCTGCGCGCCATGTGGGACCCTCGCCCAGTGGCCGGGAATTGAACCGGTGCTGCAGAGGCTGTGGGAGGCTTCGCAACCCAGGGCTCAACCGCTGCACCACCGGGGAGGCCCTAACAATGTGATTTTAAAATGGGCATATGACACGGATGTCTCACTATGACATACAGGTGGCAAGCAGGCATATAAAAAGATGTTACATAGCATGTGCACCGAGGAAATGCGAGTCACAACTATGGACAACCACCGCACACCTACTAGAGGAGCCAAACACAGACAACAAATGCAAGTGAAGATGTGAGAGAAGTGAATTTCCTATTCATTGGTAACGGGCAGACAAGGCAACACAGCCACCATGAGACAGGCTGGCAGTTCCGTACAAAACTAAACACACTTTCACTGTATGTTTCAACAATCATGCCACTTGGCATTTATCCAATTGAACTGAAAACTTACGTCTGCACAAAGACATGAATGTTCATAGCAGTTTGATCTGTAATTGCCAAAATTTGGAAGCAACTAAGATGCCCTTCATAAGTTAATGGATAAATAAAGTGCAGTACATCCAGACAATGGAGTATATTCAGTGCTAAAAAGAAATGAACTATGAAGTCATGAAAAGACACAAAGGAATCTTAAGTGCATATTAGTAAGAGAATGAAGGCGATCTAAAAAGGCTGTCCACTGTATGAGTCCAACCAAATGACATTTTGGAAAAGGCAAAACTATGATGAGAGTAAAATGTCAGTAGTTACCAGGGAATAGGGAAGGCTTAACAAAGGGGTGGAGAACGGGACTTTCTGTGGCAATGGAACTATTCTAAATTAAACGCACACCATCGAGAGTGAACCCTAACAAACCCTAGCAGAAAACTATGCACTTTGGGTGATAATGATATGACAAGGTGGGTTCAACTATCCGCTGAGAGGCGTTGATAGTGGGGGAATCTTGCATGTGTGGGGAAGGACACAGATGGGAACTCTGTACTTTCTGCTCAATTTTACTGTGACCCTAAAACTGCTCTAATTTTTTTTCCTTAGAAAAAAAGGAAAAGGTGGCTGAACATTTAAGGCCCCAGAGAAATTATACTTGATAGAGAAAAGGTTTGCAATATTCCTCCAGGACTTCAGACATTATGATGAAGCAGTTCTTTAACCTTTTCAGATTCCTTTGAAGATCTTTTTTTTTAAATTATGAAATGTCCCTACAGAAAAACTGCACGTGGTTTCGGTAGGCCGTAACTTCCAAGACCAAGTGAGGAATAACAAACAAGATAATAATCACAAAAAAGCCTGGGACTAGTTTCACAGTATGTGAGTCAAATGGACATCACTAACTATACTCGCTGCCTGCACAGTTGGAGTTAGGAAATTTTGAAAACAAGGTCTAGGTTTTGGTTTTTTTTTTTAAGATTTATTTTATTTATACAAGAGCTGGGGTACAGCCCAGAGATGCAGGAGGGTGAGAGGATTCACCAGAGACAGAGTGGGGAGCAGAACAGGCAGATGGACTAAAAGCACTGCTGAGGGGAGCAGCAGGTGAGGCAGAAGAGGTCTGCTGTGCCATGTGGGAATCTCCCTGGCAGGCTGGGAATTGAACCTATGCTGCAGAGGCTGTGGACAGATTCACAGCGTTGCGCTCAACCTGCTACACCACCAGGGAGGCCCAAGGTTTAGGTTTTGAATTAAGAAAGGGTATGTATACAAATAGGCTATGAAGCTTGGTGCCTAGAATGGGAAAGTCGTTTGATCCAAGCTTATGGACCCACTGGGCAGTACTCTCCTTTATGAAACCTTTCATGAAAAATACATTTCATAAGAAACAAATATGTGGGGCCTCCCCGGTGGTGCAGCAGTTGAGCGCTGGGCTGCGAAGCTGCCCGCAGCCTCTGCAGCGCCGGTTTGATTCCTGGCCACCGGCGAGGGTCCCACATGGCGCCCAGACCTCTCCTGCCACACCTGCTGCTCCCCTTAGCAGTGTACTTTGTCAGTCTGCCTGTTCTGCTCCCTGCTCTGGCTCTGGTGAATTCTCTCACCCTCCGTGCTTCTGACTGTACCCAGTAGTTGTATAAATAAATAAATAAATCTTAAAAAAAATATATGTGATATCATTAAAATAAAAGCATCTGCTCGGTTTTGGTCATGACCAAGGTTTACATACCTGCACTGAAAAGACACATTTGATCAAACTGCTTGAAGCCATCCCCACAGTCTGAAAGTTGAGAATTCCACTTTCTAAAGATCTTTAGTTACCACTGATCAGCTTAAAGACAGCATATTATACAAGCATCAAGTTCAGTTGCACTGCTGGTAAGCACCATTAAAATCCTTTCAAACTGTCTGTAGCTCAAAACTCATTTTAAAAATGAATATGGAAATTTTGAAAAGGACAGCTGCCTGAAAATTCCGACTGTCAGATCACTCACTTGAACACTCCATCGACTCAGGTTTTAAAAGCAACCAGGAGCCATATCACAGAGAAAGTCAATTAAGGGCTAGAAAGTAAGGCAAATCACAGGAAGCAATGTCATAACACAACAACAAAGAAAAGAAGAAAACCTGAAGATGACACCTGAAGTCAGATGTCTACACCGAAATTATTGCTAGGTCTTACTAATTTGTCTAAAGCTGAAGAGAATGTGAGGAGTGTGATGGGTGGGAGGGGCGGAATGAACAACTAGTACCTGTAACAAAGTTTCCCAGCATGCAGCTGGCTGAAGTGAGTATGGGCCAAAGAGGATGAGGAACGAACCGGAGGGCGACAAAAGCAGAAGCAGGGCTGACTCAAACCCTGGGGCTGCGGAGTTCTCTCCACACTGGGACACACACCAGCACTCTCCTGCGACAAGGCTCTAAAATTAATCTCCAGATGCAGGAGGGGGTTAGGAGAGCACTTGGTTATCTGCTGAAGTCCAGGCAAAAATCACACAGGTAATCAGAAGTGTACAGATGCAACACCTCAAGGTCCCCACATCATGTGATATAAAAGAACTTGAAAAAGTTTAAAGAGAACATAGTTACTGGTCCAATTTGGGGCATTCCGTGGGAAGCCAACAGTATAGAGAGAGGAGAGAAGAGCTCCACGTGTATCTGTGTTTTCACCCTATCTATCCAAAAGGCTCAAGTCCTCAAATCTACTACCAGGGGAAAAAAAAATTCCTTAAAAGGAATGAGAACCTCAAGGTTACCTTGCACCTGCCAGCACCAAGTCTCCTCCTCAGCAAACAGAAGCAGGACAGAAGCTTTTCTGTGCACATACACTGCACAGAGTAACATTAGCTCTCTACCCAGACTCATCAAGGTCACTTGAGCAGTGGTGGTGGTGATGGGGGTGGTAATGATAACAACAACAATAACAACAACAACAACAACAGAAAAAAACAAACAAAAAACACCTGAGTTTCTTCCAGTTCATAGGACCAAAAGACATGCTATTCGAAAGCTGCCTTTCAGGGGAATCAATGAGAAGGTTTCTTCCATACCTCCAAAAAATCATCCTCAATAACCAAAGAACCTACATTCATCCGCCAACGAATGTTTTCCTATATCTAGGGAAAGAACTAAAAATGAGTCAGAGATTAAGGAGCTCATCAGGGAGGCAACATTATTAAAAGATCTCAAATACAAATAAGGCCCTGAGAATAGCACACAGCCAAGACACACACCAGCAGACAGCTATGACAAACCAGGAATTAAAGTCAATGTGTAATTAGCATTTGTGTCCCTCTCCTGTGGATTCTGGAATCTATTTCCCTACCTTGGAGTTTTTTATCTCGAGATACTCATCACTGACCTGTCAGTCACTTGAAAAAGAACTACGGTTTAAACAGTTTCATTTAAAATGGCAAATCTTATCAGTGCCTTCATCTGAATAAATAAGCTGAATTTTGTGCTATGGGTAAGTTCACATGGAATGGCATTCACGGAAGTAATGCAGATGTGGTGTTCCTCATTTACTAACAGATCTTTCCAGAATGTTTGGTGAATTAGTATGTTACAAGTACATAACGAAGGCAGAACCTGACCCCTCTTTGCAGTAATTACCACAAGGAGCCCTGGGCTCTTGATTGGTTGCAACCTGTCATTCCCTTACAATGAATCACAGCAAATCTTTAGGTCTCACTTCCTGTTCACCTGGAAAACAAGCACACTAGGCTAAAGCTAGCATGCAGAGCATCCCTGAACTCTAAAATTCTAAAAGACAACTTAGTCAGAGATGTTATGTTCTATAGAGTTTTCTTAGATGTTCACAGTTCTTATCATATATTTACTACAATATATTGAAACACACACTGTAAGCTCCAGAAAAGGGTAAAGTATGTCTTTTATTCACTGAAACTGTTGCCACAGGGCCTGTACAACAGGAGGGAATATACTAAATATTTGGTGCTTAAGAATATATGGAATCGGGGGCCTCCCTGGTGGCGCAAGGGGTTTAACACCATATTATGAAGCAATCCACAGCCTCTGCAGCATGAGTTCGATCCCGGGCCGGCCAGGGAGCAACCCACATGGCGCAGCAGATATTTCCTGACTCGCCTGCTGCTCC